AATCAAGCTGTTCGATCACAAGAAAGGTAACAACAACAAACACATCAATGGTATCTCTGGTCATGTCTCTGTACCAGCTTTACAGTGATGTTAACCTAACTAGAGCTTATTTGAATAATGGCTTTGTGAACAGAGAAAGATACAAGAATCACTGTTCTCAAAGTGTCATTGGTCTCTGGGGTTAACTTCACTTTAGTCTGTGTAAAAACAGGTTCATCTGCATTTACCCCGCAGGACTGACTCACCACCTCATTCATCAGAGGAACTTTAAACCAATCATCTCAATTTTCCTCATGCTCAAAATCTGTAAAACTAAATACACATGTGCACACTACCTCAGTAAGCCCTGACTTTTACATGACGGTGGAAACATCTCAACTTCTAAAAGAACATGGACCACAAGACAATCTCTGTGACCTTTTCTATGTTTCCAAGTGAAGGTACAGACAATTTACCTGGCATCAAAGTGCAGAACATAATAAGTATAAAATTAGCTTCCCTTGAGAGGACACTGAGCTGGAGGCCTGTGTTTCTCTGTATGTGTCGGTCAGTGTTATAATGAGGATGGCAGTGATAATGGGAGAAGAGGAACCGTGCATTTAATTAGCCTCTTATTGTAATCTTTCTCTGCATTATCTCCTGTAATAGAAATGTCAGAGGTGATCGTTCCAGCCGCAGCGGTCGTTCACCTACGGAAGGAGAGAGACAGAGCAAGGATAAGGACTTTAGCAGTGAAAAGAATAGGGAGAAAGATGGTCTAGAAGTGATAGTTCCTTTGGTGCGTGGGTTTTAAGTGTGTAGTGATATGACGCAGATGAGTATTTGAGCAAATGGATAAATTACCTGTCCTTAGACTCGCCTTCGTCAGTGTTGAAAGTTAGAAATGAAAAAGTGAGAAAGAGGGAGAAAAGGGAGGAAATGGTGAGAAACATCGTTGAGGAGAGATCCAGTCCTAAGGAAGGAAAGATGGGTAGCAAAGTCCAGGACTGAGGCTGTAGCTGAGTCCACGACTGAGGCTGTAGATCCAGGACTGAGGCTGTAGATCCAGGACTGAGGCTGTAGATCCAGGACTGAGGCTGTAGATCCAGGACTGAGGCTGTAGATCCAGGACTGAGGCTGTAGTAGATCCAGGACTGAGGTTGTAGATCCAGGACTGAGGCTGTAGTAGATCCGGGACTGAGGCTTTAGATCCAGGACTGATCCTGTAGTAGATCCAGGACTGAGGCTGGAGATCCAGAACTGAGGCTTTAGATCCAGGACTGTGGCTGTAGCAGATCCAGGACTGAGGTTGTAGATCCAGGACTGAGGCTGTAGTAGATCCAGGACTGAGGCTGTAGATCCAGGACTGAGGCTGTAGATCCAGGACTGAGGCTGTAGTAGATCCAGGACTGAGGTTGTAGATCCAGGACTGAGGCTGTAGTAGATCCGGGACTGAGGCTTTAGATCCAGGACTGATCCTGTAGTAGATCCAGGACTGAGGCTGGAGATCCAGAACTGAGGCTTTAGATCCAGGACTGAGGTTGTAGATCCAGGACTGAGGCTGTAGTAGATCCAGGACTGAGGCTGTAGATCCAGGACTGAGGCTGTAGTAGATCCAGGACTGAGGCTGTAGATCCAGAACTGAGGCTTTAGATCCAGGACTGAGGCTGTAGTCTGGGAATAAGACTGGTAATATGTAATTTACAGTTAGAATGGAAGAAACATTGTCTTCTAGCGTCTGTTTTCTTTCTGGCAAACTATAAACAAACAAAATATTATAGCTTTGTTTGTAATACATTGTAGTTTCCCCAGATTTAAATAGATAGATTAAAGTCAACATATGTATTCTTAGTCCAGTTGCCACCTTGTTCTGTACTGCACATTAGATAAAGGTTTATTATGGGCTATAACAACCAGCAGAGGAGCAGAAGATAATATTTTTTTTGCCAGCGCAGCAGCAGCAGTGAGTGTGAAACCTGATCCATGCACCTGCCTTCATAATCCAGCATGTTCAGAGAGACAGGGACCTGTTCTACACTGTCTCAAAATGACACCGTCACTGCACTAGCCCCACGCTGTGCTCTGGAAAACTCACTATCAAATCCACTAGCATGCTATGGCTAATCTTAATCACTCCAGAGCTCCCAAGACAACAAAACGTGTAAGTAGCTTATTTGGCACGATTTTTGAAATGAGTGATTACCCCTCATTGACAATCTGCTCGTGTTTTTCAGATGTGGTTTTTGTATACAGTATCCATTTTTGATTGTCTCAAATTGTCTCAATATTTTGAATTGTTATGGCCATAATCTGGTGTCAATTTGATATTTATTTAAACACTCACACTCAACATATTTCTAAAATTAATTATTTTTTTCCTAAACTTTATTGTGTTATTTTTATTATTATTATTTATTATTTAATTGTGTTATTTTTATTAGTTTGCATAGTAAGACACTTTTCCTTTTCCCCACACTTTCTTCCCCGTGTGTTAAAAAAATGAATAAATAAAAAACAAATCATTTATATTTAATAATAGTAATAAAGTATAAAGCAATAGTAAAAACTAAACGAAAAACAAAAAAGGAGGAACAACAAACATCATGAACAATAAATGTATAGCACCATATTTTCAATCTGCAGAAATTATAATAAAAATAAAACCATTTGATCATTCGGGTCTTCAAGGGTAGAACTTCCTGAATTACTTTTAATTTTTTAAGAAGTTGAGGGTTGAAAACATATTTTACACACAGAGAGGAGGGGATGTATTTTTTTGCACAATAGGAAAGTATAGGTTTTGTGTTTGAATATATATACATACTTTAGTCTGTCATATATATACACATTTTGCATTTCAAAACCATGATAGTAAAAAAATATGCAGTTTCAGTGGTTTTGGGGTCTGAAACAGTGACTTTTTGACCTAGTTTTGGTTGCAATGGCTATATCAAGTCTATAAGAAAAATCCCAAGGTGTGTGTCACAAAAGGAGACTTCAAAGAACATAATTTGTGTCTGTAAGTGTCAAAGGTGTGTGCGTCTGATTACTTTAATGGAGCGATTGAGGATTAATTACATAAAATACATTTACACGCTATGACTCTCATTATCTAGATGTGAAGTGGACGGTTACATAGATTTCTTTGATCATTTGAATTTCTTTTTAATGTTTTTTATTGACTTTTAGGGTTTGGGGTGCGTGCTGTTTGCTCTTGGTGGAGGACTGGATTGCTGTGTACATAAAGCCACTATCAGCACTGGGTTAAAACGTCTCTGGCTTCATAAAGAGCTGATACCGGCCGTAGTATTCTTTGTTTTGCAGTAATATTCACCAAGGAGACGCCGTGTTGACAAATATTAGTGTTACAATAATATGTGTGAAAATGTGACGGCATTTAGATATTGGAAATGGGCTTCAATGTAGCTGCATAGATGTTTTGGATAGGGTTGTTTTTGTTGTTGTTGTTTTGTTGTGCAATTCTGTGTGCTTTTTTAACAGTGTGCTTCTCTTGCACCGCGTGTCCCACAACATACAACCACATGTATAACAGTTAAATTTATTTAAAGTCAGAGGAAAACTTTTGTAGCTTGTGTGCACCGCAGTGATTAGTTCAGAGGATTCACTCTGGTCTCCCTGGTCTCGCTCTCTATAGTCTCTCTCTCTATGGTCTCTATGTCTCTCTCTCTCTGGTCTCTATGTCTCTCTCTCTCTGGTCTCTCTCTATGGTCTCTATGTCTCTCTCTCTCTCTATGGTCTCTATGTCTCTCTCTATGGTCTCTATGTCTCTCTCTCTCTGGTCTCTCTCTATGGTCTCTATGTCTCTCTCTCTCTGGTCTCTCTCTAGAGTCTATGGTCTCTATGTCTCTCTCTATGTCTCTCTCTCTATGGTCTCTATGCCTCTCTCTATGTTTCTCTCTCTCTGGTCTCACTCTATGGTCTCTGTGTCTGTCTCTGGTCCCTCTCTGGTCTCTCTCTATATCTCTACCTCTGGTCTCTCTCTATGTCTCTCTCTCTGGTCTCTCTCTATATCTCTCTCTCTGGTCACTCTGTCTCTCTCTCTGGTCTCTCTATGTTTCTCTCTTCGGTCTCTCTATCTCTGGTCTCTCAAAATGTCTCTCTATGTTTCTCTCTGGTCACTCTGTCTCTCTATCCGGTCTCTGTCTATGTCTGTCTCTCTGGTCTCTGTCTATGTCTCTCTCTCTGGTCTCTCTGTGTGTCTCTCGCTGGTCTCTCTGTGTCTCTCTGGTCTCTCTCTGGTTTCTGTGTCTCTCTCTGGTCTCTCTCTGGTTTCTGTGTCTCTCTCTGGTCTCTCCACTGCAGTGATTAGTTCAGAGCAGTAGTCCTCCCGTAGCCCTCAGTCCTGCTCCTCTGCTGCTGTATTTTACAGTGTATGCACAGCTTTCGACAGCTGCAGCAGCGCTCAGACCTACAACCAACACGTTTGACATCCCTGCGATCCCACTTGTCGTGAGTTCAGGAGTTTTGAAAAGTCTATGTGTGGTGAGGGATTTTACCTCCTTAAAACATATAGCATATAACATTTAGCTTATTGCTAGTTATTATTAGAATGTAGTCCCCACTGTAATAGTAATGACTTTATTAGACCACTAAGCATGCCCCCTATTCTATACATGCAGATAAAGTCCTGTCTGATGTTGTAAAAAATATATTAATCGGAAAAAGATTGAATTCTTTATCCCATTATTTAGATTTAGATTTCAAAGTGACTAAATAAATATATAAAAATGAGCTCCAGGTGTCATAAACTCTCACTATATTGCGCACACAGAAGATTAGCAAACACAGTATCTATAGGTTTGTTTTGTTAAGACAATATTTCCACAAGACTCATATGAGCTTATCGAGTCACTCTGGGTTAGGGCCAGCTCCACATGATGCAATATCTTATGAAACCTGCGTAAGGACACTGGCATTTTCAACTTTTTCATGTGAATATAATGTGATTTTCTATTACACAACACACACATTCTAAACTGTAGGATGTTCCTTCTCCCCAGACCCCTGATTTGTTTGAAATGATTGCGAGGATGCAGGTAAGCTCAAACCATGGACACATATTCAGCTGCACTTCTTAAACCTCCATCTAGAAAGTTTTGAAATGACTTGAATTGAACATGATTTTAATTTTGAAAAATAGTTCATTTGAGCTGTTTGCAGTCGCTGTTCACCAGAAATAAGAAACTAGTTTGGGGTTAGTAGGGGCTGTACGTATGTTTTTAATGTTTTCAAATTAACTGTTCTCGTTAAACAAGAAAACCTAGTCTTTGATCCTGAGATTTTTATTTATTTGAGACAAAAAACAAAAAAAACGTTTTCTTGGAAAAGCTTATTTTAGGGACATTTCAGGACATTATGGACAGTGGTCATTCTGCGACCAATGGCTCCTCAGATTCAGATTCAGATTCAGATTCATTTATTTGCCTGTTTGTTCTTATTCCTGTGTTCGAAGGCTTTGATTCTCTGATCTGTTAGTGGAAAATTAACAACTTTGACTGCTGTTGTGAATTAGGACTTTACAAAAAAAAACTTTGAATTGAATTGAATTTTAAGACCAAACTAAACTCAAAATTACCATTTTATTCCAGTTTATTTGGAATTTGATGAACAATTAAATATACATTATTATAATGATTGTTTTTACACAACAATCTCGTCTGTAATCCGGTTGTTCTATTATTAAAATGATTACCTAGGAATTAATTGAGTAATCTATCATTTCAATTCAATGTTTTTTTTGCCCTAACTCAGAACAGCAGTCGTGTCGGTTCACGAACTTGTCGATCCGCCAACAACCAATTAGAGAATCAGATTCAACAGTTCAAACACAGGAAAAGAAATAAAACAAACAAATAGGACCCTTTGGGAACCATAGCATCTGTTTTTCTGTTAACTGCATTTTTGATATGTGTTTTATCAAATATCTGATTCATATTGTGTGGATACAGAAGTCTGGGTGTCTCTGCTCAGACTGTTACAGATAAAGTGGAAGGAAATGGATGGATGGTTCATATTTAAAATAAAAAGCCTAATATATAATTTCATGTAGAAATTCTTAAACGCTGAATCAGATTGTCATTTAAAGAGCCGTGTTGACACAACGCAGAAACATGTCTCTGGAGAAATCACATCTGACTCAGAATCACATCCAACAGTTACACTTAACATAGTAACTTTTTGGTTCAGTCTGCCACAGTCTCCTTACTACCTTAAAGACAAGCTGAATATTCCTAAGTGAGTTTAAGTAGTTACATAAATAACCGATTAGTTGATGCAACAAAATCGTAATCAATTCTCTTTTGTAATAGCCCTAGTTCTATTGTATTGTGGGTATAAACATTATGCATTTTTCTGGGAGGGTCTGACAGGTGGAGGCAAGGAGAAACACAAAACCAAAACCAAAGGACTTTGTCCGTAACATAGGGTTAAACTGAATCTAAAATACAGTGAGGAAAGCACATATTTAGTCATCCACCAATCGTGCAAGTCCTCCCTCTTCCACAGATGAGAATTGTCTGTAATTTCCTCAACTATGAGAGACAAAATGACACTTAAAGCTTGTCAAATCTACTCAAAGTCAAGTCATTCTAACTTACCTAGATATCCTCACTAAACAACTAACCCTCTAACACGTCGAGCTGCTTGGCCCCGTGGCTTACGCAGACGAGGTGTTTTGCTGTTTTTCCGCATCGGCCGTGCTGACAGCCGCTCCGTATAAGCTTGTTATCCCACGTCCTGGAGATGTCCTGCTTTCCTGACGTCTGCAGCTACACACAGAATTCACAAGACGCTGTAGTTTCACAAGACAAAGCTCCATTGAAATTATGCACAGACTGAATAGAAATCTGTCCACGGAAGAACGTCACGACCGTCTTTTCCCCTTTGACAGATTCATAATCAAAGTGTATTCGTAACGTCTGCAGCAGCACTGACATTCCACGCTTTCAAAGTATTGCAGTGTTTTAAATCCCGCCGGTCTTATTACTTATCTCCTCTGTCTGATGCAGCTCAACTGATTGTAATAAAGCCTGCCATGCCACTACATTGCGAATAACCTTTTTTTCCTTGTTCTCTTTCTGTGTGATTATGCCTTGCCGCTTGCTTTAAATCTATTGGGAACTCTTACGTAATGCCGTTCGCTGACCTTTTCTGTCTTACTACCTGGATTGCACCGCTTTTGTTATTCATTTTGATCTCATACTATACAGTAACGTCAAGCAAAGTCGGGACATTGTGCATTAGATGAGAGAAATCGACATTGGGGGAGAAATGGGGTCATTGTTTTGGGCTGAGCATATGTTTGCAACAAGAAAAAGCAATCAGATAATAATGATTTTTGCATTGGATTTTCTGGGCCTTTCGCATGCAGAGATGGTAACACACTAGGGATGTGATAGATGGGCTTTGTAAAACGGCCAAAACACTCACCACCAGATGTCCTTGTTCTAATCAATCTCAATTTTATATATGATATTGTTTGGTTCTATTGACATCCGCAACGTGGCACTCACTTCTTAGTAATGACAATTGAAATTGTTACCAGGTAATAAAAATACAACTAAAAGGCCAAGTTTAAACACAGCTCTTACAGACTACACCTTTGTGGGTGGACTTCCCTTTCTCAATATTGACTATGAAAGCTAATGACTGCATAGACTTTCTGTCTAAGAAGCAGGGGCAGTGTATTGACCGATGTGTCGCATGTGGGAGCTGATTGGAAGATACAGTAGAGGGACAATGTAACATTTCTACTTTAATGATTTGTGCTTCAAGTCGAAGCATTTTCATTTTAGATTCCTGCACTTTTACAATTACAATTATTTTACGATTATTAAGTGGAAACTTGGAAAATTAGAGTATTGTTAAATAGTCCAGTTATATTTTAACTTTGTTCGTGAAACTAATATATGACTTATCACACACAAAGTAGAAACAATAATGATTTGTAATGCACCGTACATACATGTTAGCCTGACTCTCGCCAGACCCATGTAGTTCGCTGCACTTCACACATGAGTCTGGTACTGAGCCATAGTGGTTGGATTTCAGAAGGCAGGGCCTTGTAAAAAAAAAATTGATTATCAAAATGTTCACATTCTTATCCATATTTCTCTATTGCCGAGTAAATGGTCCCGACCTGCTTGTTGTTTTCTGTAGCTCTTTTTGCTCTCTTGTACCTCTGTTCCAGTGTAGTGCACATGACTGAACTTTTCTCTTGTAGGGAAACAGGATGGATGAACAAAGGTGCACCTTTCCGCCTCCTCTCAAGGTTGGTTTTCCCGTGTTCACTTTCACATCACATCATCTCCTCTCCGCTGTTCCATGTCTCACTTCCACAGCTGCGACAGCCCTGCACACCTCATTATGTTGTGAGAGACATGACCAATGACCACGGCGCCTGTGCAGCATATACTGTGCAAACACATTACATTCAGATTAAGAGATCCTTCATTCTTCCCACAGAGGGGAAATTTCAGTGTTGCGACACAGGTTACAGAACAGAAGGAATGAGGAGCAAACAACCCAAGATAAGTGAATATATATACTGTATATATTCACTCTTGTCTTGCACATGTGAGCTCAGGTCACCCGTTAGAGGAAAAGCTAGGGCTGAGGAACGTTTATCCAGTGTGTTTTTTGTGGTTCTTTTAAAAGACAAGTTACATGTATTAAATCACATGTTTCAGATCTGTCACCATGGCGACGCCTAATTTATCATCATGCTACTTCCTTAACATGGTAATACATTTAACCTGTCTTTCAAATGAACCACAAAACAACTTTTTAATTCAACAAGACAAGACAGAATGAACCTTTTTGAATGACTATAGTATTTTGTGTTGATATTATGCATTTGTAGTTGTATTTGTTTGTAATAACGGCTCTGTTTGAGTCACACAGCACGAACATGTGTTGGAGTCTGTCAATAGAGCACTTAACACTATCATGGTTGTTGATTCATGAACACACTTTTAGTTTTAGTTGTTGATTACTGTGGTCCCTCACTATGACTCACAGATTTTTGTGTGTACTTTTTTACCGCTTCTCACGTATCCTCCAACAGCATCATAAAACCGCTAGTGTAACATGTCACTTACCTTTATTAAAAGTCAGAAGAAAACATTTGTGGCTTGTGCGTCCTGCTCCTGTCCCTCAGTGCGGTGTCGTCTGCAGCTGTATTTTACATAATATGCACGGCTTTTGACAGCTGCAGCAGCACTCAGACCTATATTAAACAGGTTTGATATATCTGCAATCGCACTTTAGCTGTCATGAGTTCAGGTGATTAGAAAAGTGTGTGAAGTGTGTGACGAGGGGTTTTACAGCCTTAAACATACAGCTGCTGCGTTGAGGATTTAGCTTGTGTCAAGTTATTTTAAGAAAACCTGCGATAAACGAGGGACCACTGTAATCGAAGAATTGTTACAGACCTAGAATTACCACACTTTGTTCCTTTAAAGCAGCCTTTGCCTGAACTGATGTAAATACCTGCTTTGAATTTTGCCAGCGTTACAAAAGCAGGTTGTAAAAATTACTAAAACATGTCCATTATCTTCCAGACAGAAGAGGACTACATTCCATACCCAAGCGTACACGAGGTATGACGAGGCTTTATTACTGCATGGGAGCGGCTCAATGACACAGCATTCCCCTTTTTTACAGGTGCTTGGCAGAAAAATTCCCTTTCCGCTCATCCTTCTGCCGCAGTTTGGGGGCTACTGGATCGAAGGGACCAACCATGAAGTGGGGAACGCCCAGGAGCCAGATCTGCAGCCGCTGTCGGCCAGTACCAGAACCAAACTGGAATGCAACACCACCGCCATGCTGTTCCGGAAACACTTCTTGGGAAAGGTGAAAATCAATCAGCTAAAAACACCTTATAGAGCAGGAGCCTCCAACCTTTTAACCCATGGAGAGCTACTTCTTTAATTGGTTTTAAATGAATTGAGTTAAAGATGCAGTCAGTGATTTATTCCAGACATTTTTTGTTGTTGTGGGAAACGTCCCTAAACCCTAAAAGTAGTCAAGTTATCATGTGTTTTCAAATAGTACTGGAATTGACCAGATGCCTATAGTCTCCAAAAAATAATAGCAAATATTTTGGACCAATAAAAATAACCCAATGGGATTTGTTCATCCCATAGACTGTATATATTAATGGACAGAGTCACGCCTATCTCCGCCGTTCTAACTAATGGGCCAAAAAATGTGCTCTACTGGAGCAATCCAAAATGGCCGCGAGTGGTCCCGCCCACACGAAAATTGTGAAAAAAACGCATCTGTGCATGCATCAGCCGGCGCAACTCCATTCATTTGAACGAGAGACTTAAAAAATTCACAGCAAGTAAACTAGAGTGGACCAAAAAAATCTACCCCCCCTCAGCATTGACACACATGTGGAACGGAGCTTTGGGCCAAGAGCCAACTTTTGGCAGACCTCTCAAAGACGTTTTTGAGAGGTCTGCCAATGCTATATGTTAGCATTGGCTAATTCTACTTCTGGGTCCACCCCCATCGGCCCGGGGTGGTATTGCAAGCATGTCAGCGCACGTCATTTTGGACACTTTTGAGCTGGGACCCTCCCCCACTGGTTCATCCCCAACGAACCAATGGGATGTTTCTTGCCTCTTCCTGTTTCTTGCGAGTGCGCGCACCGGAGTTATCGGATTATTTACTAAAACCTAAAACTGCTGAACATAAAATGCCAATTTCACGTTTGCCGCCCACTCTCCCTGTTGTGACAAAGAAAAGAAACTGCTGGTTGTTTGGTTTGGTGTAGAGGGGAGAGGGGAGGAGTCTTGAGTTGGTGCTACTGCTAAGCTAACAACATCACTTACTGCATCTTTAAGGTTGTTTAGTGGTGACAAGTCTTGGATTGCTTTTTGCTTATTATTTGACATTTCTAAATCCTTTGCGTAGCTACTTGGAAGGGGGTGGCGAGCTACTGCTATCTCTGGAGCTATAGTAAGTAAGTAGTAGTAAGTAATCTTTATTTATAGTAATCTTTATTTATATTTATTATAGAGCTATAGGTTGGAGATCCCTGCTGTAGAGGATGGTAGAGCATGGAGCAGTAAAGGCCTTCATGTCATAATAGCCTCACTTTTTAAAGTTAATATACTGTATAACAATAGGTTGAGCCGGTGTCCTCAGTGGGTGGATACCGTGGCCTTAAAGCTGTGGTACTTGCGTTTTTTTAAATAGATTTATACAATATACATTTTCTATATAATCATACATATTGTTTGTCCCAAAAGTAAACACAAATCAGACCACATGCTGTCATCATCTCAATAGAAATCATGTCATCGTTCACAGATGTGTAAGAAAGAGATGTTTCTGAAAAATAAGATGTAGCAGAGGCTAAAAATATATGCATGTGAGAACTTAACTTGATTTGTGTAAACTGACTTTTGTTTTTGATTGTGTCACAAAATCCCATACAAGGCGCTAAATTAGCTGTGGTGTGAATCAATATGGACACATCTCATACCTCATTTTAAAAGCCAGAACAGCCTGAATCCAGTGAAAACAGTTGTAAAATCCTGCCTCGAGACAGAGAAGTGAGCCTCTTACTAAAAAGTTTAATGGAAGAACCAAACGAGGAACTAGTTACATGGATTTTAGTTCATAAGTACCCCAGCTTTATTGAGACCAGAGCATACAGTATATTGAAGAAATGGCAATTGTGTTGTGCTTAAAGAAATGTCGTTTAAAAAGCTGGTGGTGTGATCATTCAAGTGGTGTTATACTGTAAGCTTGGGTCACTTATAGAGATTACATATTCAACCTGTTTAAAGTATAACCATAAGGAAATGCATTAAATTGTGAAATGTTCTAAATTACAACATTAAGGAATTTCAATGACATTTTTCACTTCCTGACGCTGACATCTCAAATGTAATCAATGTTGTGACTTTTCCGCCCCACATCCACATCGCCCGCTCTGCTGAACTACAGAGGCACAAACATTATCCTGACCTCGATTTCACGCTTTTGACATTTCTCTCATCTTTGACTAACTGAATACTTTTGATTCCGTATTATAAAACATAGCAATGCTTCTACTCTATAAAACTGCAATCCACATTATATAGACTTAACTTATCTTCACATTGACCAGGCATATACAGTTTTAATAATGCATCGGTTTTATATAGCGCTTTTTTGGACACTCAAAGACGCTTCACATGTGTCATTATTCATTCACTCCAAACACGGTGGTGATAAACTACTAATGTAGCCACAGCTGCCCTGGGGCACACTGACAGAAGCGAGGCAACCAGTATGTGCCATCGGCCCCTCTGACCACCACCAACCATTCACACACACCCCAGACTCATTCTAGGCAATGGGGGTGAAGTGTCTTGCCAAGGACACAACGACAGTAGTCAGTGGGAGTCGATGGTGAAAGTCTTGAGCGGGGCTTGAACCCACGACCTTCTGGCTCAAAGGCCAACGCTCTACCAACTGAGCTACTGCCGCCGTTTTCAGGTTGGTTTAATTAAAGTGATAGTCTGGAACTCTAAATGAATTACACATTTTAAGAATTGTATTTGTGATATCGCTCACTCTACTGTTTTGGCACGCTGCGCTGCGAGTATCCCTACAAGCCATGCCGCCTAAAAAAGGCCCGACACCCGAGGAATGTGAGGACATCAGAGCCTCGCTGAAGTTCCTGACTGGGGAGATGGCTTCTGTCCGGGAGCAGCAGACACAACTCCTAGCTTTGCTGGAGTTGGTAAACACCCTGCGTGTCCAAAGCGAGGAAAAAGACCGCCGCATCGAGAATCTGGAGCGGCGAGTTGACGAAATGGAGCAATACAGCCGTATCAATGATCTCATCATCACCGGAATAAAAATCAAACCACGCTCGTACGCGCGTGCAGTGGTCACAGATGCAGTCGGCGGGCAGCCCAGTGAGGAAGAGACGTCCTCCGTGGAGCAGCAGGTGTCCTCCTATCTCCTCTCCAAAGGAATAGAGCTGGACCCGGACCACGTCGAGGCATGTCACCCACTGCCTTCAAGAAACAACGAACGACCCGCTGTCATCATCCGGCTCGTAAACAGAAAAAACAAAGTGGCGCTATTGAAGCAAGGACGAAAACTAAAGGGAACTAATGTTTACATAAACGAGCACCTCACAAAGAAGAATGCGGACATTGCAAGAGAAGCCAGACAGTTGAAGAGACAGAATAAGATTCAACACACCTGGGTGTCAAATTGTAAGATCTATAAAAACTAAATGCCCCCAGAAAATGCAAAGGTACTTGTGGTGAGAAGGAGAGAAGAACTGGACAAATACAACACTTAAAAGGTAAAACTACACCACACAGCAAACTTGAACAATATATTAAGCATGACTGTTACATCTGCTACACAATCTAACAACAATGAAATGGACACGCAACAATTAACTCTTCTATACAAACAAATGGAACTGGACACTGTTGAGTTCATGGACACGCCACATTTATCAGAGATTGATCCAGATAACAATTTTTTGTCTTCACTTCATCAGTGGAGCTGTAACTACTTCACTCAAGATGATTTCAACAAAAGTATGAACATTGCAGGAAAGTTATCGATAATCCATTTCAACAGTAGAAGCATGTATGCAAATTTCATCGCTATAAAATATTTTCTGCAGCAGTTCAAAGACCCATTCAGTATAATTGCACTCTCAGAAACTTGGATCAACATAAATAAAGAGTGTGACTTCTATTTAGATGGCTATGAATTTACTTGTATTAACAGAGAGAGCAAAACGGGAGGTGGAGTTGCCTTATTTGTTCACAAGTCAATACCTTACGAGACAGTCTCCAGTATGTCTATTGTTGTTGATGACATAATGGAGTGCCTTACCATAGAAATACGAAATGAGTCCAACAAGAATATTATTGTAAGTTGTGTATATCGATCACCAGGATCAAGTATAGATGATTTTACTGAATGGGTGGAGAGATTATTTAGTCCTGTAAACCAAAAAGAGCTATTTATCTGTGGGGACTTTAACATCAACCTGCTGAATCCAACTCAACATAATGCCACAAAGGATTTTTCTGATACTATGTATAGCATGTCTCTATATCCAACAGTAACAAAACCAAGTAGACTTACAGTGCACAGTGCCACATTAATTGATAACATTTTTACTAATATAATGGAAAAACCTATCACGAGTGGACTGTTTATATGTGACGTTTCTGACCATCTGCCAGTCTTTAGCATACATGACTGTGATTTAAAAAGCAAGAACAAACCTGATAAAAAGATGATATACAAAAGGGAAAGATCTGAAGCAAATCTCATTGCCTTCAATAATAGTTTAAAAGGACAGGATTGGAACTCTGTTTTTAATCAGTCCGATGTAAATATTGCCTATGATAACTTTATCGAAACATTTGTTTGTCTTTATAATAAGCACTGTCCTATTAAACTATATCGTAAGACCAAAAGCATAATAAACAGTCCATGGCTTACGAGGGGAATCCTGAACAGTTGTAAAAAGAAACAGAATCTTTATAGAATCTTCATCAAGCTAAAGACTAGTCAATCAAATACAAAAAAAATTGAAGACGCTGAACAAAGGTACAAGACCTATAAAAATAAACTAACAAATATAATTCGGTCTAGTAAGCAATTATACTATACAAGAATTCTAGAAGAAAATAAACATAATATTAAAAAAACTTGGGGCATACTAAATAGTGTAATAAAACAAGGATCATCTAAAAAAGTGTATCCTAATTACTTTGAAGATATAAGTGGTGACAATCATGACATGAACAAAATAGTAAATGGTTTTAATTGTTTCTTTGTAAATGTTGGTCCTCAATTGTCAAATGAAA